TCTGTAGTACTTCCATTAACCATGGAAGCTCAGGAAAGCTGGAATAAGGAAGAAAGGAATCAGAGGAGAGACCATAAAAGCACAGCTAATTTCAAGGAGAGGAGAAATCAGTAACCATTCCTTCCGCCCTACATTTTAAATATCACAACGAATGTCAGTAACACAAAATAAACAACTCGTTGAGAGCACACCATACACACAACTTTAATTTCTTCCCACTGCTTTCATTACCAAGCTGTTTTCTTTCTTTAGGCTGGAATGGGGGGGGGGCACTTTTAAAAGACTCATTTAACACAGAAGTCAATTTCCACTAATGTATTCTGAGGATGGCATCTGTGGTCTTCCAGAGCAGATCTGTATACACAGATATGCATATGTGTGTAGCTCCCTTTATGAGAAGAAAGCAGATCTGTATCTACAGATACGTATATATTCGTGACTTCCTTTATGAGAACAGCAGCTATTTGCGCACCCCAAACGACATACTTGGTACTCATGTCTTGTAGGGGGAAAACACCATCCTGAATAGGAGAAGCATATCATTTATAATCATTGTAAACTGGTTAATATTCTTGATAGAACTGATTTTCTCTTAACATGTATGCAAACAGCTCTAATTGTGAAAATAATAATGTGACTATGGTGTAATCCAGATTTTACTTTCAAAAAGTTGGGCAGGGAGTGGTTTTCCCTGCCTTCAGCCCTGAGCGAGCAGGAAGAAAGTGCTTTCGGTCCATTGAAGCGATCAAGGTATTTAACACAGAGCGATCTTGCCAGCCCCGCTGTGCTTTGTAACTTCTGGGTTGAAGGGAGACTCTGAGAGGGGCGCACAGACCACCAGTTCTCACAGGGATCACCAAGGGTGGCCCAGGTCCTAAAGAGCCAAAAGCCTGTTTTGTACGCGTTCAATGAAAGGGAAGAAAATGATGACTTTGTACTAGTGTGTAGGAGGCCAACATGGGCGAGACAGGGAGATGAAAGCTGAGGTAACGGAACCACCTACAAAATATTCATCACAAAGATTCCACAGAACACCTTTTTTTCCTTGAGCTCTTCAGATCAAACCTATAGGCAAAAGTAGGGGGTTGTAACTGGCAAGAGTGCATGTCCAATTTGTAAGAAATGGGAGAATATAAGGGACAATTCTCCTTCAATGTCCTCAACATTTCCTCCAACCTCATTCTGTCAAGAAAATTTAGCCAAAGTAACCAGGGTAAGGGATTCTGCTCACCCCACAGACATATGCACGTGTGCACTTAGAATCCAAAGCAAGATGCTAATACTGCCCAGAAAAAGAAAAGCTGTGTGTGCTTAGGAAAAGGGTGTTCTTGTGAAATACATGCATTAAAGGAAATACGTGAAGGAGAATAGATATGGATTCTGTCTGTGATAGGAGCTCTGGTAGCATAGTACCTAAGGCACTTGACTGTTTACCAGAAGGCTGATGGTTCAAACCCACCAGCCACTCCTCGGAAGGAAGGTTGGGCAATCTACTTCCCTAGCGATAATGCATCAGAAGCCCAAGGAGGAGTCGCTATGAGTCTGGTCTGACTTGATGGCACATAACAACAACAACAACAACTCTCTTTGATAAATGCAGTCCAAGAGAGGATTTTCATTACCACTGAAGAGTTCTCTAGTAGCCAGCCCTTCATTAAGTTTCCTCAGATGGAAAGAAAATAATGTTTGGCTATTACAGAATTAGGGTGGACCAGATTCTACTTCCAGACAGTTTTTACTACAGATACAGAAATCTATGAAATTACATAGATGGAGATAGTGATACAGATATAGAAAATAAAATAAATAAATAAGAAACCTTCAGAACTCAAGTCCAAAAAGTGCCTAGAAAATACACGTGGCAGGCTCAGCTACATCATTTTTCCACATGACTCAGGTAATCCATCCTTACGTAGCTGTTGGAATGTCAACTGGCGTCATTTACGGGGCACTTTGGTGCACTCCCTAAGGTATTTAACTGCTAACCGGAAGGTTGGTGGCTTTAATCCACCAGCTGCTCTGCAGAAGGAAGATGGGCCAATCTATTTCCGTAAAGATTTACTTCCTCAGAAAACCAGTGGGGGTTGCTATGAGATGGAATCGACTCAATGGCAGTGAGTTTGGTTTGTTTTTGTTTTATCTACATTGTCCCATTGGATCCTCACAATAGCCCTGTGAGGAAGGAGGAAGAGGAACCATTGTTCAGATGAGGAAATGGAAGTTCACAGAACTCTGAACAAGTCAGAGGTAGTAAGATGGGACCAGAAGCCAAATGTCTGACTCTTAGTCTGGTGTTCTTTGGGGAAAGTATGGGTAGGATTGTGTGTCACACTGTGTGGAACATTCCCTGTGTGGTTTACCAACCACAACGTTCTGGGAACAGTTTCTTTTTAGCACTGCCCTTTAGATCAGCTCCGAAGTCCCCGAAAGAGCACAGTGGTTTCTCACCAGCCTTTGTTATCACTCCATCTCCTGGGTTAAGGTTCCTTCTTCCAGAACATGTCCGAGAAGCAGGATCTGGGCTTCTGTCCACCCTCCAAAGAGAGAGGGGACTTCTACTATTGGGTTACCCACCTTCAAGCAGCACCATTGTTCTCTATTAACAAGCCCGCCACCCTAAGTGAGGCACACCTGGATGGCTTCCACTTCCCAATCAGTCTGCCTTTAGAGTGCTTAAGAGGCACAATTTCCCATTTTGTTACAAAAAATCTATCATCTCTTCCACACACATTTTTCCTTTTCCTCAGTTCTCAAAAAAGTGATTTCTTATACAGAAATTAAATGGAATATTGCATGAAATGATTATAGCATACCTTTCTCATTCTTTTGTTCATTTCAATAGTGAGTATTTGAGAGGAAGCTAAACCCAGTTTTGATGAAGACAGGTGGAAGGTGGTAACTGAGTAAGCATCAGTGCATCCGTTTGAAAACACTTGTTGAAATGAAGCATTATTTAGTTGCACACGTCTGAAGGCCCAGAGTATAGGCATTTGTTCTGAGAAGATGACAGCAGTTCTCCAAATTAACAGTGAAAATGTTAGGCCCACAGAAGATACCTGGGTTGTTTTGACGAGTAGCTTGAGTGCTATGTCACCGCATTAAACACAGTCAAGAAAGGGAAGAGAAGGTTGATGGAGTTATAGCCCAGGAGTACGGTCACCAGCTAATAGGACGTGAGGGCAACTTTGAATGATGCCCAGGGGTCCCCATGGAAGAGTCGGCATCCCCTTGCCTAAATGAGTCTTTCCTCTCAGGACAGGAAATGTGTTATTTAGACTCATAGCTTGCTGGCAATGGCGTGTGACTAATAGGATGGTAAAGGCTTTTATAAATAATATAATGATTAACTGACCATCCATATCCTTGAAAGGTCTCATGCAGTCCCTATCATGCTTGAGGGGTGCTGGTGGTACAGTGGTTAAAGTACTTAGCTGTTAACTAACCAAAAAGTCAGTGGTTCAACCAGCCACTCCATGAGAGAAAGATGAGACAGTTGGTTTCCATAAAGATTTACAGCCTTAGAAACCTTACTGAGCAGTTCCACTCCATCCTATAATGTTTCTGTGATTCAGAATTGACCCAGCGGCATGGGTTTAGTTTTATTTGGTTTGTCAGTGCTTCAGAGGGGTAGAGTGTGAAACTTGAATTCCACCGTGAGCTGAGAGAATGATCAAAGTCAGAAGTGATCTGTGTCTGCTTATAAATGAAGCTCCAGATGCCCAGGATTATCAATTCAGAACACTCAAGACATCCTTCAAGGTAGGAACTGAACTTAACCCCCATGACTCAACTGGCAGACGAACTATAGACAGACCTATAAAGTGAACAGTAACACGGGGTGGGTATGCACTCATTACAACAATCAAGCATATAACGATCAAGAGGACAGCATTAGCCTAGGGATAGAGCAAGGATAGTGGGAGGGGATGGGAAGGAAAAAAGATAGGAAAGGGTGGGCACAGGGAGGAAGTGGGAAGAATGCTGTTGCAGTGTGGACATTGTAGGATATGTCACAAAACAGAATGCGTATGGATTGTTGAATGGAAAACCAATTTGCTCTGTAAACTTTCACCAAATCACAATGAAAAAGAAATTATTAAAGTAAGATCAATTTAAAAATAATAATAATAATAACTCAAAACCAAACCTATTTCCATAGTTGATTCTGACTCATAGCGACCCTGCAGAATGGCGTAGACCTGCCCCACAGGGTTTCCAAGGTTATAAACTTTATGAAAGTAGACTGACAAGTCTTTCTTCCATGGTATGACTGATGAGTTCAAACCACCAACTTTTCAGTTAGTAGCTCAGTGCTTAACCACTTCACCACCAGGACTCCTCTGTAACAGGGCTTTGTTGTTGTTGTTGTTGTTTGCTGTCGAGTCGGCCCCGACTCATAGTGACCCCTCCTTGGGTTTCTGAGGCAGTATTTCTACGGAAGTAGGATTGCCCAACCTTCCTTCCGAGGAGTGGCTGGTGGGTTTGAACCGCCAGTCTCCTGTAACAGAGCTAGGCACTAGATAATTATGAGTGGCACAAAAGATATCTTGATCTTGATTTTATTTCTTTTAAAGAGCCAAGGAAAACAATTAGGCTAGTGAAAATATTCATTATTCCCTGCAAATTTTGGAAATGACTATTATTTTTAAAACTTTAGGAGGCTGTCAGATCATAACATTTCAAAGAGCACATATTAATTCAAGCCAATTGATCATACAGCATATCTCTGAAGTTAAGTTACCAATGACATGAAATGGATTCACTATATTCCCAGTGAAACCCACACCCAAAGCTTTGAGATTAATTATGGCAAGATTGTCATATGTCTATTTTTTTTTTTTTAATGAAAATATCATTTATTACTCAAATACTTCTAAAGCAATAATGTTTCCATTCTTTCACACAAGGGGCAGAAAACTGGGTATTTACTGGCTTTCTAGAAACTTGTCACAAGCCCACAGGACGGACTTTGCCATCATCACCTTCTGTTTTCCTTAACTTGACAGGGAGCCAACGTCAAGTGGATTGATGTGAGTCAGAACCTCATTCAGGAAGCATCAGTGTCCCATCAACTGCGTGATTTTTTTCATTTGGAAAATACACAAGGTCCAGAGGCTTGTCACCCAGTGTTCTGCTTTCCAAAATCCTGGCGTCCCCATGCGGACTTCTGGTAGAATGAGCAATGCAAAGTGCTGGCTTGGACTCGGCATGTCCTTATACTTCTGGGGGCTGGTGAACCTGACAACTGCCACTCTCTTGGGAACACACACTCCACGAGGTGAACTCGAGGCACACCTGGCAGACAAGCCACAGTCACACCAGCGGACCAAGAGAAGTTGGGTTTGGAACCAGTTTTTTGTTCTGGAAGAGTACACTGGGACGGACCCTTTGTATGTCGGCAAGGTAAGAACCACCAAACAGAAAGATCAATGATTGGGGGGTTGAATGTTTATGAAAGAACACCTGAACCGAGTCTGAGGCCTGAGAGAAATTTTAACTAGTGGCATATTACTTGACAGCTAGTTGAAAGATAGTTTTTGCTTTGTCAGATACCAGTCAGAAAAGATAGACTAGTTTCCTTGCTTGTGGCTCTGTTCAAGTGGAAAAAAACTAGGAATTGGGTTTTGGAGGAGAAGCCTCAGACTCTGCAAGGGCCCTTCAGTCACAAGAGAAGTGGTGGAGGCCTTTGGGGGAATGACAGGTTGGACGAGAAAGAAACCAGGAGATGCTGGAGGGGACGGAGAGTTTGTATTTTTTTTTTTTTTTTCCAAAAAAAAAAAAACCCACTTCCACAGGTATTGCCTGAGGCCCAAATTTAATGGGAAAAAAAAAAGAATAATAAAACATTCTTCCTTTCAGAAGATCGCAGCAGGTGCTCTAGGAGCATTGGAGACAAACAGTGAATATATTTATAAACTCCATACAAGAATTCCCTTGATTTCTCTATCATCATTTCATTTTTAATCCAGGCTTTCTCCTGTGTTTACTTTCCTTGGATGTTAATCAGAGGCCATTTAGTGAAAGCAACCAAGTGAGAGAAAATGGGAAACAAGGAGCTAATTAGAAGATAAAAAAATTCATTCAAATAATAAACCCTTGTTTAGCACAGAGGTTAAGAACATGGGCTTCAGAGTCAGACATGTGTGGGTTCAAAACTCAGCTCCGACAATTACTTCAAGAGGGATTTTGGACAAGTCACAAAACCCCTTGAGGCTTCATTCCCTCTAATGTCAAATGGGGATTTGTTGTTGTTGTTATGTGCCATCAAGTCGATTCTGACACACAGCAACCCCATAGTTTTTTCTTGGCTGTAATCTTCACGGGAGCAGGTCACCAAGCCTTTGCTCCTGAGGAGCCACTGGATGGGTTAGAACTGTAACCTTTCAGTTAACTTTTTGTTGTTGTTGTTATGTGCCGTCGAGTCAAACCCGACTCATAGCGACCCCTCCTTGGGTTTCCGAGGCAGTATCAGTACGGAAGTAGGATTGCCCAACCTTCCTTCCGAGGAGTGGCTGGTGGGTTTGAACCGCCAGCCGTCTGGTTAGCAGGCAAGTGTCTTAGCCACTATGCTACCAGAGCTCCTCTGCTGACCCCTTAATCATAGCACCACTAGGGCTCCTTCAAATGGGGATATATGAGTACTATTTTTTCTCAGGTGGGGTCTGCACCAGTTCTACTCTCATTCACATTTTAACCCAGTTATCTGACTTCTGTCCCCACCTCTGGATTAAAGGTGTATGTTCATGGCTCATAGAGACCTCTCTGCTATCAAAGCCAGTGATCTCATCTCATGAGTCCTCTCAACAGAAGCCTTGGATAGTACTGGCCACTACCTCCTCTCAGCCCACTCTCCTGTCTCAGCTCCATGACCATCACAGTCCCCTGGTTTTCCTCCTTCCTTTCCAGCCTCATTGGCTGTCTCTCTCCAGGATCCCAATCGTCAGTGGTCTTATAAGCTTCTCCCTGAGCTTCCTGTCTAAACACACTCAATCCCTGGACAGACTCACCATCCCTTTGGCTTTAAACATCACCCCTATGCCATTGGATCCAACGCCCTCATCTTTGGCTCAGACCACACATCTGAGCTTCAAACTGACAAATCCGACTGCATATGTGACATCTTCATGTTGATGACTTATAGGCATCCAAATGTGGTGAGTCCAGTAAGGAACTCTTGTTTTCCCTTCCAAACTAGTCTGCCCTCAGACTTCCCTCTCTGAGCATTGCCTTCCACTATTCACTGAAACCAGAAACCTGTTCCCCGGCTGCCCTCATTCTCGCCATCTGCCGATTCTGTTCATTCTGTGCCAGAATCACTCTCAAGTCCTTCACTGCTCTCATCTCCATTCCCAATATCATCTATCCCCTGAGCAAATACCTGGCCTCCCAACAGGTCTCCTCACGACCACCCTCATTGCCTTCCAGTCAAGATCTCCACACATGCTCTTTGTAAAAGTATAAATCAGATCACATCACACCTCTGATTAAAACCCTTTTAAGCCTCCCTATTATTTTAAACCATCCATCCCCATCACCACAGCTTATAAGGCCAGTTTGGACATGACCTGCCTCTGGCCTCCCTTGCTCTCATGTTTCCGGGACGTGGCCCCTCTCAGTTCCTAGAACTTGCCAAGCATTTGCTTTTACTGCTCCCCATAATGAAATGACCTCCCCCTGGCTTATCTCGTGACAGCTTCCTTCCCTTGCTTTAGGGCACAAGTCGAATACACCTCCCCTGACCTTTCGCTAAGGTAGCCCCTCTGTTCAACTCTATCATCACCATTATTTTCTCTGTAGTTCAAATCACAACTTACGATATTTATTCTATTTATTTACATGTTTATTGTCTGAAGCCCCTGATTAGAGTATAAGCTCAGTGAGGGCAAGAACATCACCCCCATGTAATTCCCAAAGCTGAACCCAGCACCTATCATACAAAAGGTACTCAAAAAGATATTTAATGAATGAGTGCAATTATGAACACCTCATGGAGTAGTTAGGATTAAATGAGCTAATCCAGGTAAAGCACTTAGCACAATGGCTGGTCCAGAGTAAGTTCTCTGTAATCATTATCCAGTAGTGCTGGTGGTGATAGCAGGTGGTGGCAGCGCTAGGAGTCCAGTAAATTCTACAAAAGCCAGAACTTGTGTAAGGAGGAAACCTGTCAGAAAGGGAGAACTCAAATATTTTCCACTAAAAGGAATGATAGAAAAAGACTACAACCCGTCAAAGGTGGAAAGCTTGCAAGACCCAGGAAAACAAGAGTCCCGTTGAGTTCTGGCTTCCACAGGTTTCATGTAATAGCAGAGAGAGAGGTAGAGACAGTTCAGGATGAAGACTTAGCAGCTGTGTCATACATTCTTAATGCAAGTGCAATCCCTCTGCCTCAAACTCTGAGTTTTCTTTGACTTCTCCCTCTTCTTCTCGCCTTCCTCCTTCCTGTGCAATTAGTGAGCACAGCCCATCAATATTCCCTTGCCAATTTCTCTCAGATTCATTTCTTCCTCTCCAGGCTCTCTGTCATTGCCGTGGTCCCTGTGTTCTTCATGATTAGGTTAACTCAGAGGCTCTGGCCACCTCCCTATGGAGAGACTCTCTGCTCACTCCACCCCTAGGGCTCAGGACATTTGTCTCCTTGATGCTCCCCTTCCATCATGTCGCTCCTCTGATTAAGAAGGCACTGTAGCTCGCAAATGCTTATCAGCACTCCTTGCATGTAGTTCAAGGATTTCCAGCAAAGGAGCCCTCTTTCCTCATCCAGTCCTCTCCAACGATTTCTCAAATTAGGTCCTGACTGACCCCAGCCAAGCTGAGTATCCTTACTGGCCTGACACATACCACATTTGGCCCTACCCTGACATGTGCCAAGACACACTGTCACCTCCTCACTGTTAAAGTGCATTCAGCTTCTTCATGGCCTCACTTAAAAGCCACTTCCATCATGAAGACACTCAGAATTCCAAAGATATCCAACTACTTGATATTTGTAAAATACTTTTCCAATGAGACATGCACAGCTACTGCTAAAATAAGTTTAAGAAAAAGAATGGAAGTATGCAGCAATAGCTTTGGTGCACATAACATTTCAGGCTCTGTCAAGAGTAGAAACTGAGGTCTCTACTCAGCCTTCTCTACATCTCCCCAACATTGAGTACTGAGCACAGAACTGGACACCCAAAAGTGCAGAAAGAGAAGGCAAACTTTATATTGGGCTATTGCAGTACTATGCATCAAACACATTCCCATAAAAATGCAAAAAATGCAACCACTGCCATGGATTCAGATCCAATTCATAGCGACCCCTCCTTGGGTTTCTGAGGTGGTATCTCTATGGAAGTAGATTGCCCAACCTTCCTTCTGAGGAGTGGCTGGTGGGTTTGAACCACCAGACTTCTGGTTAGCAGTCAAATGCTTTAGGCACTACACCACCAGAGCTCCCACTCACATAAAGCAAATGGTTAAATCATTACAGCAGTGCTGTGAGGTAAGACGAATTCACCACTTTTATGTGATTACCAGAAGACTAGCCTCCTCAGAGGCCTTATGTTCATTGCCCAATGTTACCCAGAAAGTCAAGGAAAAGCCAGGATCAAAGCATGCATCCCTCCGACCCTGAAGCCATGACCCTGAAGCCATGTTCTTTCCCTTGCATTGTCCTGCATGTGGCCAGTGACTCGAGGCTTTGCCCTGGGAAGTACTCAGACAAGTGAGTGGATGGCGTTAGCTAGGCATCTGGAATCTAATCTTGACTGCCTCCTGAGCCCTTTACCTCTGGCATTGGGGGGTCCTCAGCTGTGTAGCACCCTGCACTACTCACAATTAGTGTTCACCATTCTCTGCCCCTGTCCACAATACTGAGCACCACAGGCATCTCTACAGACATCTAGTCAACCAGCAGACCTACACAGGGTCAGTGTCCCCCTCTACTGGGTGTGTGACTGCCCCATGAGGGTGGCAATTGTGCATCCCTCACCAGCCACTTCTTCCCTTTGCTTTCTTTTGAAAGAGAATTCTTCCACTTTTCATTCCCTTTACCCTGGAGGCCTTCAGCTTGCACACTGAGCTCTAGAAGATGCCTGTTTGGAGAGCCCACTGACGTGTTTGCTTATTGCAGAAGGACAATGGCAACAATTATCGGCTGTAATTGGTATGGCTTTATGAAATCCACACTGGGCTTTCTGGGGCCAAGGTAGTGGCGAGTAGAGCAAGATTATATTGACATATGCAAAGAAGGGGATGCTGAGAGCTTGAGCGCTGTGTGCATCTGTCGTTCCCACTCACGCTGAGGGCCACGACTACACGGAAGCTGTCTGAACACAGACCGCAGGCACTTACTGCATTCCCGGAACAACACGAGGTGTGACGGTGACATGAGTGAAAATCACCATCCTTTTCAAAATCGT